GGGCTGCTTCATATGAGACCGCTTCAGCACTGGCTTCATGGCCGAGTCCCGAGGTGGGCGTGGCAGTCATCGGGTCCAAGTTACACCGGCCTGTCGCCAAACCTTCACCCCGTGGTCAGACCTTACGTTCCTCCGGGCAGGAGTGCCCCTAGAACAGGTCTCCAGGCATGCTGTGGTTTACACGGATGCCTCCACCACCGGCTGGGGGGCCACATATAACGGGCACGCAGTGTCGGGGGTGTGGATGGGCCCCCAACTGCACTGGCATATCAATTGCCTAGAGTTGTTAGCGGTGCGCCTTGCCTTGAACCGTCTCAAAGGGTGCTTACAAGGTAAGCACGTGCTGGTCCGAATGGATAACACGGCAACTGTTGCGTACATCAACTGACAAGGTGGTCTATGCTCCCGTCGCAACTCGCCCGTCACCTCCTCCTTTAGAGTCGGAAGGTTCTGAGGTCACTTCGTGCTATTCACATTCCGGGTCTGCTCAACCGTATGGCCGACGAGCTGTCATGAGCTACGCTCCCGGGAGAATGGAGACTCCATCCCCAGACAGTCCAGCTGATTTGGAGACGTTTCGGAGCCACTCAGGTAGACCTGTTTGTCTCTCCAGAAACGTCTCTCTGCCAGTTGTTGTACTCCCTGACCGAGGGAATACTCGGCACGGACGCACTGGCACACAGCTGGCCGCGGGGCCTGCGCAAGTATGAGTTTCCCCCATTGAGCCTTCTCTCACAGACGCTGTGCAAGGTCAGGGAGGACGAGGAGCAGGTTATTCTTGTGGCGCTGTATTGGCCCACTCGTACCTGGTTACCCGAACTAATGCTCCTCGCGACAGCCCCTCCCTGGCAGATTCCTCTGAGGAAGGCTCTACTGACTCAAGAGATGGGGCACCCTGTGGCACCCGTGTCCAGACCTCTGGAAACTTCAGGTCTGGTCCCTGAATGGGACGCGGAGGTTCTTGGTGACCTACCTGAAGAGGTAGTTGACACCATCACTTCAGCGAGAGCACCGTCTACGAGACACGCATACACCTTGAAGTGGACCCTGTTCGTCGAGTGGTGTACTTCTCACCGAGAAATGGCCGAACAGGGTCATGCTTTCTTTCTGCAGCAAGGGTTGGAGCGAAGGCTGTCTCCCTCCACCCTTAAAGTCTATGTCACTGCGATTGCTGCTAACCATGACCCCGTGGAAGGGAAGTCGTTAGGGAAGCATGACCTGGTCATCAGGTTCCTTAGGGGGGTGGGAAGGTTAAATCCTCCCCTGCCCCCCTCTATACCCTCTTGGGACCTGTCTCTAGTGCTCAAAGCACAAAGCACAAAGGCAGCTGAGCCTTTGCAGTCAGTCGAGCTAAAGTTTCTTTCAATGAAAACTCTGCTCCTGTTTTAACTGGCCTCCATCAAGATGGTAGGGGACCTGCACGCATTTTCGGTCGACGATTCGTGCCTAGAGTTTGGGCAGGCTAACTCCCAGGTAATCCTGAGGCCCCGGCCCGGCTATATGCCCAAGGTTCCTACTACACCTTTCAGGGATCAGGTAGTGAACCTGCAAGCGCTGCCCCCGGAGGAGGCAGACCCAGCCCTAGCTTTGCTTTGTCCTGTCTGAGCCTTGAGATGGTACTTGGACCGGACACAAAGCTTTAGGACCTCAGACCAGCTCTTTGTCTGTAAGTATTGCATCCTCCTGGGCGCTGGCTCATGGCGCCTCGCTGACAGATATTTGTAGAGCTGGGCGACCCCAAACACGTTCGCTAGATTATATAGCCTTCGTGTGGAGCCGGGTATCCTCCTGTTTTCTCACCTCAAATGCGTAGAGGGCTGGGTTCCGTATGTAGAGGCTTAAGTGGTTCCCATATGTGTAAAGTCCACGGTATAGCCTCAGAGCCCGTGTTTCCCCCACATACTTCTGCCATTTCCATTACCAATCACCTCTAATCTTCCATATGCAGCTAAACGGTGAGTGCTGGAAGTCGCTTTGGATAAAAGCGTCTGCTAAATGACTAAATGTAAATGTAAATGTAAATGTTCATATGTGTAAGTGCCTCCGAAACCTCCTTTGAGAAGGATGGGGCTTCTGCAACGTTCTTGTTCCAAGTGGAACGGGTACGTTTCCCAGTGTTATCCAATCTCACTGAGTGGGTAGTGCTATGACAACAGTGACTGGTCTTCTTGTTGCGAGCCCCAGCCTACACCAAAAAGGGGCGCAGGCGGCTCGCACAGGACACTGGAAGGGGCAGCATCCATGGTGCTTTGGTAGGGATCCCAATTCATCGGTCACCGACGTGACGTAGAGAGTGACTGACTGAAAGGGAACGTCTCAGTTACGTATGTAACCCTCATACCCTGATGGAGGGAACAGAGACGTCACGTCCCGTTGCCACGGCTGCTGTACCACTGCTGAGCGGCCGGGTCACTGGCTCGGCTCCTCAGCGAAAACCTGTTGTGCATTGCACTGGCTGCCTTTTTATGCTCACGCTGTGATCAGCGGCAGCTGGATGCAATTATCGCATGCCAATGTGCAATGGCTCGTTTAGTTTACAGTTGAAGTGGATTGGTCTCTCTCGAGATCCCAATTCGTCGGTCACCGACGTGACATCTCCGTTCCCTCCTTCAGGGAACGAGGGTTACATACGTAACCGAGACATTGCCACTCATTTGCTTGTAGGTACAAGATATTTGCCATGTACGTACCAGGGAAGTACACGTACTGTAAAATAAAGTGCTACCTTTGTGTTTGGTTGACAAATTCACCAAATACCGAGTGACGGGAGAAAATAACCTTTTTGAAGCTTCAAATCAGTTGAACCAATTGTTTCGCAAAATACTGCACTATTTCGAAGCACTTAAAACTCCTCATGCTGATGACTCCAGCTGGTCAAAAATGCAACAAAATCTCAGACCAAAACATGCATAAAAACCCATCTTTTACAAACCTGTTGCAAATGTTTTATTGAAACTGTAATATATTAAACACAATTAACATCAAATACCGTTAAGCATGAAGTATGTATTTTTTTGAATTAATTTGCAGGGCTTGTCTAAACAGGCCAATAGGAGACTTTTAACTATTACTTTTCCTTTTAATTACTCAAATGTCTCATTAAAATGTCTGCAAACTTGTAAAACTCGCATCAAAAAATGACAAATGACGTTTGATAGATGCTCCAAACAATTGGTTCAAAACAAATGATTCGCAAAGGTTTCAAAGCTTCACGAACCCATCACTACCAAACATATCAAACATGTCTTAGTTTTTCACTCAGCTGGAAATTATATACTGTATATATATATATATATATATATATCCCGAGTCCAGATTAGCGTCGCCCTGGAAACGCCGCTGCCACACTGATCACCGAAGCACAACACCTGTGCGTGATGAGTGGCGCACCTGGAGCTCGATCTGGATTATGATTACCTTCATCGAAACATATACTTTAAGACCACCCATTGGCTCAACGATGGAATCCAATGGTGTGGGTGAAGCTATAATGCGTGTTGTTCTTTTACTTGTGCTTTTGCAAAGTTCACTTCATTTGTTTCATTTTGACTCTAGCTCCTTGTTTAATCTGACTCCAGTTTTCAAGTGATCATTAAATTTAGACTGTATTTCTAGCTGATCACAAATAGGCCTATTGGTTATGTATTCATTTAGATTTTTGATTATTCTGGACACAAATACTTTCAATTATTCATTCATAGAGCACAAGACACATCATATGTGGTGTATATACATTCTTAATAAACTTTCAGTGACTTGAGTCTGCTGGCGAGAAGAGGGAGGTGGGGTTCGCTGATAAGTAAGGAGAGAAGTTTGGACAAGGTGATATTCTATGATCTTTCTCTGAGATCTTCTCTCCAGATTAGTGAGTTTTATTGTTTTATTGCAGGGTGTTTGATTTTGTGTTCTGTCTTAGCAGGAAAACCATCCTCACAAAAATACTTAAAGGGATAGTTCACCCAAAAATTAAAATTCTGTCATTAATTACTCACCCTCATATTACCAGCAAACCTGTAAGACCTTCGCTCATCTTTGGAACACAAATTAAGATATGTTTGATGAATTCCGAGAGCTCTCTGACCCTCCATAGACAGCAAGGATCCTAACACGATCAAGGTCCAGAAACATAGTAAGGACCTCGTTAAAATAGTTCATGTGACATCAGTGGTTCAACCGTAATTTTACAACGCTACGAGAATACTTTTTGTGTGCAAATAAAACAAAAATAACGACTTTCAGCAATTCGTCTCCTCCGCATCACCCTGGCACCATTTTGGTCAGTGAGCCCATGAACCGTGACAACAACCTTCACCAGGAGAAAAAAATCTGCTTTTAAACTTGAAAGAAATAAAGATTTGACATTCATCATGATAATTATCAATATCGACTGATATGTGTCACGAATCCCGTCTATGAACTTCAATTCACTCACCACCAGAGGTCACCCTTCCATTACATTGACTCTCGCACTACACAAACTGTTGCATGTCATCCCGGACTACATATCCCATCATCCATTGCACTGATTGCACACAGCACTGATTGCTCACAGCTGTAACCAATCACACATTCACTATATAACACTCACTCTGAGTATTGTATAGCGTTTATCACTCTCATAGCGATAGCTAATCTACGGAGCCTGTCTAGTTTTTCATAGCCTTATCTTAGTCTTGCCTTGTCTGTTTTCTCGTGTTCTGATCTTTGCCTGTGTACCTGGATTTATCCCTCTAGTCTCGCCCCGTTGGATTACGTTCGCGATCGTAGACCCACGCTAGCCCTAGGAATATTCTTGTGTTTTGCCCTCTATATACCTGTTGCCATTGTCTGACCCTTGCCTGTTTCTGACCATGTTGGTTAATAAAGCTTTGCACTTGGATCTGAATATTTGGCTTTGGCTAATGGCTCAGAATTACCGGACTGCATGTTAATTGACTTCTTCTGTGATGGCCTTAACCAGCCTGTAAAATCACGAGTGATTCATGAGGGTCCTCGTTCGTCTCGAAGTGATTTTATGGACTATGCTCTATTATCTGTTGGTTCAGCGTTCACTGTGGGTATCGCGGAGGAACGCGACCCCACACTCACTTGTGTAATGGCGGACGCACTAGAGCACGCTCACAAAATGGAGGCAACAGTGGAGCCTGATCGCAAAAAGGCGGACACAACAGCGCCCCGTTATGTTACAGCTGCCAATCCTGAGTCAAATCAAGTCACAGCTGATCGTCATGAATCAAGTCAAATCACAGTTGATCGTCATGAGGCAAGTCAAGTCACAGCTTATCTTCATGAACCAAGTCAAGTCACAGTTTATTGTCATGAGTCCGGTCAAGTGAGAGCTGATCTTCCTGAGTCCAGTCAAGTCACAGCTGATCTTCATGAGTCAAGTCAAGTCACAGCTTATCTTCATGAACCAAGTCAAGTCACAATTTATTATCATAAGTCAAGTCAAGTCACTCGTCGTTAGGCAAGTCAAGTCACAGTTGATCGTCGTGAGGCAAGTCAAGTCACCGCTTATCTTCATGAACCAAGTCAAGTCACCGTTTATTATCATGAGTCAAGTCAAGTCACAGCTGATTTTCCTGAGTCCAGTCAAGTCACAGCTGATCTTCCTGAGTGCAGTCAAGTCACAGCTGATATTCATGAGTCAAGTCAAGTCACAGCTGATCTTC